TCCTTTTTTCTTTTGCTTTTCTTGCACCTGCAACTCATCGTTTTTAATCTCCTGTGTGTTATTTTCTTTGAGGTTTTCATTGTCTGCTTGAATCTTCTCAAAATCTTCCTGCAGTTTGTCAAATTTTTCATCCTCTTCTTTGCCCTTTTGTTCAAGCTCCTCTTGTTTCTCTTTTTCTGATCCTCCTGGATTTCACTGTTTCTGCTTTGCAGTTCTTTGTGAATCCTCTCAAGCTCTTCATATTTTTGCAGTGTTGGATCTTCTCCTGAAGCATTTCTGTGCTCCTGTCCTGACTCTTTTGCTTCTGCTCAGCGCTGTATATTTGTCTTCTACCTTTTCTTCTCTTCCTCAAATTCTTATTCTGTCTCCAGTTTTTTCTTCTTGCTCATTTCTTTATTTTGTTCTCATTTGTCTTCTTTCTCCATTCTTTATTTTGTCTCCAGTTTTGTCTTCTCTTCCTCCAATTCTTATTTTGTCTCCAGTTTTGACTTTCTTGCTCATTTCTTTATTTTTGTTATCCAGTTTTGTCTTCTCTTCCTCCAATCTTTATTTTGTTCTCCGTTTTGATTCTCTGCTCAATTTCTTTATTTTTGTTATCCAGTTTTGTCTTCTCTTCCTCCAATTCTTTATTTTTGTTCTCCAGTTTTGACTTCTCTTGCTCAATTTCTTTATTTTTGTTATCCAGTTTTTTTCTTTCTTCCAATTCTTTTTTTTCTCAGTTTTTTTTTTCTCATTCTTTATTTTTGTTCTCCAGTTTTGTCTTCTCTTCCTCCAATTCTTTATTTTTGTTCTCCAGTTTGCTTCTCTTCCTCCAATTCTTTATTTTTTTCTCCATTTTGTCTTCTCTTCCCTTTTTCCATTTTTCTTTTATTTTTGTTCTCCAGTTTTGTCTTCTCTTCCTCCATTCTTTATTTTTGTTCTCCAGTTTTGACTTCTCTTCCTCCAATTCTTTATTTTTGTTCTCCAGTTTTGTCTTCTCTTCCTCTAATTCTTATTTTGTTCTCCAGTTTTGTCTTCTCTTCCTCCATGTCTTGACATTTCTCCTTCAATTTTGGACTTCTGAATGTTCTCCCTTAGAAATTGCTGGTACTCATTTTCTGCTTTAATTCTTGAGTACATGTCTGACAGCTTTTCCTTCAAGTCATCCAAGTCTAGCTGCTTCCCTTCTAGTATTTTGTTTTCTTCTTCTAGCTTTTCATTTCTTTTCTCCAGTTGCTTGTATTTGGACTCCATTTCTTCTCTAAGAGCTACAAGCCCATCCTTATGACATAAATTGCTCCTCTCTACCAGAAGACCGTTTAGGCGACTTCGCAGTTGGTACTCGCTCTCTCGTAGACGAAGTTTTCCCTCCTGCAGTTCTCAAAAGCTTTTCTGAGACCATTGTATTCACCGGGGGACCGTACTGCCCACCGCAGCGAGGAGGAGGTCCTCTGAAACGCGGTTGATAGATGTTTTGAGACATGCAAAACAAACCAACGCAAGTAGACTGATGTTCTTCTTGTTTTTTGAAGACGAGTGGAAAATCTTTGCAAAGACGAATTCAAAACTTGTTTAAATATGTTCAGAAATGTGGCGATGTCAACGTCTAACCGGCGAAAACACACTAAAGAAAAATACCGAACACTGTGTTTACTTGTTGCCCGTTACTGTGGTTACTTCACTGTTTCAAACATTAACACGTTCTATAAGCAAATTACGCTGAGACATGGCGTTCGGCTAACGTCTATCACGTGACATCAAATAGGATTTAAAGAAAACACGGGTGTATTTTGCCATTTTCAATAAAGTTTTAATTTCTTATTCTTCAACATATTTAGGATCCTTCTTACCGAGTGTTTATATCGCGGGTGTAAGTTAGAAGGGTACGGAGCCCCTCTGATGACATGGTCCAAAATAAGTAAATTGTGGCCACAAAATACTACTTGTGCCCACGAAATGGGAATAACGTGCGCACGAAATGCTAATTTGTAGCCACGAAACACTTGACAGATAACCGTGATCCTTCCCAGACCCTTGCAGCAATAAAATCTATCCCGGCTCCATGTCGTACTTAACGTCTGTAAAGCAACTGGGCTCTCAATATCCTGTTTAAACGTCTCTCCGTAATGGTTCCTTGCATTGTCAGGCTTTTCAAAATGCATTTGTAGCTCATTCCCAGCCTAAAATAAAACGCAATCATACGGTCTCTGTCCATGGTGTATAGGTTTAGCCTACTCTTATGCTTGTGTCTCTACGCAGCTGTCCAGGAATTGTATCAATATGATGTGCTCACGTTATCTAATTGCCACAAATGCGTAATTCGTTGCCACGTTATACTCAATTCGTGCCCACAAATTAGCATTTCGTGGCCTCGAAATAGTATTTCGTGGGCACGTTATACTACTTCGAGGGCACGAAGTAGTATTTTATGGCCACAATTTATTTATTTTTTGGACCATGACATCAGAGGGGCTCCGTAGAAGGGAACCCCTTCTATAACAGGGAAAGTAGCAGGGCGTGATCACGGAAACAGAAGACGTAATACCCAGTTAAAATAGTCAATAAAAATAAATGAACTTTATTTACAACACTAAAACTGCCCTGATCAGGGGAGAGAAAACCCCCATAAACCTCGGCATACTAAAAATATGATGATGCTCAGTCCATGAGCTAAGTCCCCAAAGTTCCCGATCAGGCTATGCCACACTTCCTGGCTGTGAAGAATATGCTTATTCCACCAGTGGGAGCCAGGCCGACCGCGTCCTTTTTCTTGTGGCTGCGCCTGCCGCCACGCTACTCCATGGCTCTCCTGCTGCCACACACGTCTTTCTGACCTGCCAGAGCCTCTTATTGGCCGCTGCCAACATGGGAGGCCCGATTGATTTCTGTCCCCTGTGCCCTCCAGGTGTATCTAATTGGGGAAGTAAGGGGGGCGGAGTCTGTCGGGGAGAAGTCCCAATAAATGGAATAAAAGCATGCAACACTAAAATACACTCAACATTAAAACGCAAAGCATGCAACCACTCGATAATAAAAATCCTTCTTCATAGGATGGCATTTACATAAGGTGTCCAAGGTCGATATTTCAGAGAAAAACGTAAATGAATCTTTGTATTGGCAGTAATAGTGCAGCACCGAAAAATGGCCCCTTGTGTGTTTGTTTCTTCTTTTGTTGTGGCCAAAAGTGGCAGTACATGGACAGTAAATATATCACATTAAATGCTGGCATTCAGTTAAAAACCAGACATGAATGAAAAAGATACACAAAGATTAAATGCAGAAAATAATATATTTATGATGAATATACAAAATAATAATTCTCCGAGAGCAGAAACAGGTTGCAGCTCTGATTTCAAAGTTTTAAAATGATTTTTACACATTTCAGTTTTTGAAGCAGAACATCATTTTGACATGAAACCTGGAAACATATTAAGCGTTACTAAGTCTTCTGTATCCGTTCTGGCATTTTTAATGAACCAAACTGAATCCAAATTGGTTCGAAAGTCAACGACTTATGATGATATTTAATTGAATATAGGTATCTGCCTCCATATGGCGCTTCGCTGACGCGTTGTTACAGCGCACAGCAGCAACCAGTGGGGCATGCACGTGTTTATGTAGGCCTATCTGTGTTGTGTAGATATAATAATGTCAGATTAATAATGACAAACCAGAAATAAAGATAAATATCTTTTGTAAAAGATAAATGACAACTTCTGTTTTCTGAAAGCCCTGTTAACCACACTCCTCCACAGTCTCCTACAAAACTGCTTTTGAGCTGGAGACCCACATGGATGTGACTAAACTAGCCACCGGGTGGGGTTGTTTACCCATCTTAACGGCGTGGCAGGAGGATCAGCTGCTCCGTTTTCCCCCGCCTTCATCTCTCTCCAGCTCTACCCAAGTCCAGTAGCACATTAATAAGAAAGTTTACTCGAGGACACGCTGGAGAAGTCTTGAGTGAGTGTTACTTTACTGTTTGAGTAATCAGTGTACTTACTCATCTCCAGCCCCAGCGCTAGTGGCTGCACAGCTGCGGGTGGGGGCTTATGTAAAAGGATTACACCTCTTAAAACAATAATGGTCACCGGGAGAACAAATGAGGTGGTATTAACGCTCCGGAGGTGTCTCTTAATGCGTCAGTGAGGCGGACCAGCTCAGTGCGAGCGCAGCCAGCGCAACATGGACACGGCAGGTAATGCTAAAATTCTTTACTTTATTTTAGACTCAGCAAGTCGAAGATATGAACAGAATTAAAGTCCACCTATAATTATGCCTCCCTGCAAACTGTCGCTCATATAACTTACTGTCAAATTAGACCTGTTGGTTATATGCATGCTGACTGAGTTGCTGTCCATGGTGCTGATTAATAGACGGCCACGGGAGTTCAGTGAGTGTTTCTTATCCTCACAGGTCAATACTGTGTCAGAATTAAAGGATTTCATTGTCTATTCTTCAGCTCTGAGGCCACATTACTCATCACAACATATTCTTTTCACAACAGGCCGTTTAATTAAACATGACCAGAGGGGAATCACCCTGCACTGCTGACTTCTCTGCAGACAGCGGGCACCGGGTACCCTGGTTTCGGAAGGTACAGAGGACACTGTTGGATCACGGCAACATCTTTGACTTGTAAGACCAGGATTATATCTGAGTGTGAGAAAATCCCTCTCTTCAGTCATGGAGCTTTTCTTTTAGCCAACTTTTGTGTTTTGTGACTTAGCTGTGTGGCTTCAGCTGAAGTCAGAGGTTTCTTTTCAACCTGGTTCCTATTTTTAAGCTTTATCTACTGAATGAAACTGATGTCACTTGAGATTAGAGATGCTACCAGCAGCTTTTTTACTTGCCTCCTCCAGTGGGGTTCAGTTTGGACAAGCAGGTGCTAAAGTGTCCATTTTACAAGTTATTTGTCCCTCACTGCCTTTCCCCAAACACTTGGCTCCATCTCTGCCATCCTAAACTAGGACTCCACATATCCTCCCGCCTGGATGACTGAGGGAAGAGTTTTTGGACACTTACCATGGCTGACTCCTTTCAAACTCCAGCCTGGAGGGAGATGACAAATGGAGGGGGGCACCCCCACTTTAAAAACGGAGGTCCGAATGGGGGTTCCCACAGCACCACACGCTACATGGTGAAGAAGCAGCGCCACAGACGCAGGTCCTCCTCACCCATGGGCAGGGTCATCCTCATCAATGCACCTGTTGATGGTGAGGTCTGGTCCCAGTAACAGTCTTCTGCTACCATGGCAACACAGCAACTGGCTGCAAAGGTGTATTCAGGACAATCAGTGACACAGATATTTGTTTAAAATTAATTCAGAGCAAGCTGATATTATGTAAAATACTGTGGACAGAGTTAATCTTATGTGTTTTTAAGCTAAAAGGCAATGAGAACTGAGTTACTAAAAACTTTTTTAGTCAACCTCTTTTCTATTTTTAAGCAGAAATGCAAACAATTCAAGTATCTGAAATGTAAAATTTTGGTAGTCTTCTTCATTTTCAGTGATCAGAAACTGAATGTCCGCAGTAGGCTTTGCTCATTTAAGACGAGACCAAAAAGTTGTGTGAAGATGTGAATTTTGGCTTTGGATATTTCTGACATTTGAAAGACTAATCGGCCAATATTTAATTGAGACAACATCAGAGTGATCAACACAAATGTTAATTAATGGTTAGTTGTATTCACAGTAGGCGCCACCCAAGTTGTGCAAAAATTCTGTCAGTTAAATAAAGTTGCTTTCAATGATGAGCCTATATAAATGCATTTCATTTGTCAGTTAACTTCATAGGAGTCTGTCGACCTGTGACCTGAAAAAGTTCATAAGGATGAAGTTTTTCATTTAAGGTTGATACATATGTTTTAGGTTTAACAGTCAATAGGTTTGTTATCAGTAACTTTTAAATGTTAGAATGTTTATTGTTTGTCATTTATTGTCTGTTCTTTGTAAATGAGTTTTTTTCCCATCAGCTTTGAATTTTCAAATCATATTTTGTTGGAAGTGTCCCAATCCTGGGAATACTTGTGGGTCACACTGTGCATATTTATGGTGGACTCATGTTGGTGTTTTGTGTGTTTGCAGGAGGGGATGACAGTGAAGACATTCACACAGTGACAGTAGATAAGAGTCCAGATGGGCGTCTGGGTTTCAGTGTCCGCGGGGGCTCTGAACATGGACTCGGCATATTTGTCAGTAAGGTGCAGGACAACAGCCCTGCAGGTTAGGAAGAAATGTGTGTGTTCATCAGACTGTCTATGTAAATGGTCACGACAAGCTTTTTTTCCCAGTGTGCTTACACGTGGGAATGTTGTCTTCTGGTTTTTCATGCTGAATTCTGTCTGCAGCGGAGGCTGGGCTGACTGTGGGTGACAAGCTGGTGGAGGTGAACGGGGTCAGCCTGGAGAGCATCACCATGAGCAGTGCTGTGAAGGTCCTGACAGGAAACAACAGGCTGAGGATGGTGGTGAGACGGGTGGGCAAGATCCCCGGCATCCGCTACTCTAAGGAGAAGACCACATGGTGAGGCCAGTCCACTCAGCAGGGCTGGAAACTACCAAGATATCAAACATTTACTGATGAAATACTTATTGCTGAATATGTAAGAGACTACAGCTTTGGAACTACTATCACTGACCTTTGTGTGGCTCTTGTTTTGTCAAGTCTTGTCACTTGACTGTAGCTCACACTGGTTATCTTTCTTTTGGGATATACAGTATCTTGGTTTCATGTGGCATCAGTGGATTGATTACTGCTGTGACCTTTATGGCTACTTGATTATCTGATACTGACACACCTGAATTCAGTGGACAGAGAGAAAGCAGTTTATATGAGTGTTTTCATGTGTGCATATACAATGTCTCCTTTTGTGTGTGTTTATGTGTGTGCGTGCAGGGTGGATCTGATTCACCGGCGGATGGTAGTGGAGGAGAGCGGTCGTACCCCTTCAGAGGCCAGTTCGGACAGCGCTCTTCGCAGGATCGTACATCTCTTCACCACGTCAGATGATTATTGCTTGGGCTTCAACATCAGAGGAGGAAGAGAGTTTGGATTGGGGATCTATGTGTCTAAGTATGAATACAAACACTGTTTTTTTTGTTTTTTCTGCATGAGATAAAAAAAAATTAATTAGTACCTGTTGTAAAATCATTTAGGCCTCAGGATGGTTATATTGGTGCACTTGGTGGAATCCAGGTTTACCCCACCTGGCTGCAAATAATAATATTAACCCCAATAATTAAAGATGATATCATAATCTCATTTGCAAAGTTTATCTGAGTCTTTGTGGTAGATCAAAGCAAAGAAGCTCACATTTAAATTCAATTAGTAGTTACATTTCTTTTTTTCATGTCTGGATTTTTTCATACTGCTCATCAGGTTGGACCCAGGTGGACTTGCAGAGCAGCATGGCATCAAAATGGGGGATCAGATCCTTGCAGCTAATGGGGTGAGCTTTGATGACATCACTCACAGTAATGCGGTGGAGGTCCTGAAGAGCCACACCCACGTCATGTTGACCATCAGGGTGAGCGAATGGAAAAAAAAGGAAAAAAAAATATGTTTGAAGTTGAGCTAATCAGTTTCAGGTTGTTGGGTTGGGTTTTTTTTCTTTTTACATTTTTATAATTAACAAATCAACAGGGTATGAGAGGACTGTCACAGCATGAGGACACATTTTTGTTCTTCCTTTTACAACCTGTGACTTAAATGTCTTGGCTCAGTTTCAGACAGCACACACAGAGCAAGTGACGAGAGTAGAGGATTTAACAGCCAAAAAGCTAAATATATTCCAAGGAGTGAGAGGAACACAAGACAAAGAGCTAACATGAGAGTATATATTGGGCTTATTTTCCTCTTTTGGACATAAACATACCTCCAGTTGAATGCTGAGGTGTACATGAGCAACATTTTGTCAAACCACCAAACTAAAAAAAAACTCAGTGTTGTCTGAAATGAGACTGAAGTTTGATTTCAGGAAGTTCTCTAATTGCAGTGGAGTGTTAATAATTTGCTTCAGTTTAAACTTAACAGCTGATTGGAGCCTTGAGTGCCGACACAATAATAAATGCTAGCGTGTAAACAACACCGGCTCTTCTCAATGAGCCTGCACTGCTGAGCAGACAGTTGGCTTACAGCCCTCAAATTTCTTATGTGTGCCTTAGTATGTGTGCTAGGCCGCAGCACTTAACCTGTGTCATTTCTGGATAAAGGCACCGCGTGTAGGTGCGTATGAATCGGTGTATGTGTGATGTGCGGCGTGCTCTCAGCTCGCTAGCATTGCTGCATGCTCATTTTACCCCCCTGATCTCAGGTTCCACGTGTGAAAAACAGCCAGGCACGACGTTCATTATTCAAAGGCAGGCGAGGATCAGGTTATAATCAACCGAAAGCCTTAATTTATGCCTTCCTCCTGTCCTGTCCTGTATGGATGGATCACACACATAGTAAAGCAAGGTTTTATTATTTAAGACCCTCACACCTGTGCTCTTAAAGGAAAAAATGAGTGCTGATGAGACAGTTCCTTAAAAAAAAGTTGAGAAGGCATTATACAGTATTATGTGCTTACGAGAGCCACGTGTTTTGTAATTCTGTGAACCACATAATATTTACCCTAACCTATACAGTAAATACAAGCACCTTAATATCCTTACAGCTTTACATTTGAAGTAAGGATTCATTTGAACTGGATATTAAAGCAATTACTAATCATTACTAGAGCAAATATAACATAACTAAACTAACATTAAGTACAATAAGATGCTGCACAGAGGTCAAAAGGTGGAAATTAAGCTGGTATGCATAACTGAAAATATCAAAGGCAGAACAACCTGTAAGCCCAGTGCTCGCTTTAATGTGTGGACAGCTTATTGATTGGTCCAAATATTCCAGTGATTCCAGGGATTGTCATTGCAAGTGGTGCTCAAAGGATAAAGACTTTCCTTTTGCCCTCTTCACCAAGTTCACATTTTGGTTTTGAGCGTCATGTCTTAAAGATTAGTGTATGGACTAGCTTGAAATTGAATTCAGGACTCATGTCAAATGATAATACTTCGGTTAGCCATTGTTTTATATCTGTGGTCGTAATCTTGTCAGATTAATCTGCAGAACTAAAATGATACCTTCTCATCACTCTCAGCTGTATGTGACATGCTAATGAGCACACAGTAACGTGTTTGTTGTGGTCCCAGCTGTTTTTTTCTACCTCTAAGTTTTGAATTGTTAGTTATCTGCTTGAGTTTGAAGTTTTGGTTCTTATATTTGGCAGGCTGATTTTTGCACTCCTGTTTTAATTTCCTCATTACTCTCTAGTGAGTTTGATGCTTTATAATATTAATAAATCTCTGAGTTCTGTGTTTACTTTATTCCTCCTCTAGTGAAGAGTTTTAGTTTTTTCCCATGCTTCTTATTCTAACTTTAGATCATGTTTTAGTGCAAGTTTTTGCATCTCTGTGTTTAGTTTTAAAAAAAAATCCAATTTTACTCATTTTGTTGCCGCTTATGTTTTGCTTTGAATTTTGCTCCTTTCTTTGCGATTTTCTGATGACTTTCACCCATGTTTTACTTCCCCCCTTTTCCTAATTCCCATCTCGCCCTAAGTGTATGGATACAGTAGATAGCCCCATCCTTCCCTTAAAGGCCGTGTCTCCACATCTGTACACCTTACATTCATGTGCTGACTGTTTTCCCTCTCTGAAGTCCTTTAATTGGATTCAGAAGACACTATTCCTTCTTTTAAGATCAAATTCAGATTCGGATCCATATTCACCCCATTGCCAGTTCTTTGTGTATTTTCATACAACAAAAATTGCTGTTTCTCTCCAGCTACATACTGTGTAATATACCAAGCTTTAAATACAAACATAATAAATAAAAGCAATATAACTGTTGTCATGACTTGGTGCTGTCTAAATAAAACTGAATCGAACTGAACTTGCTGACGATCCTCATGTAAACACTGCTATTATCAACATGTTGCTGTAAACTCTTTTTTGCAGAGTGTGAATGTGGCTCACAAGTAACAAAAAACTACAGGAAAAAATCCAAATGAACAAATGCTGGCTCATTTTTAAATGTTGAAAAACCTCACTAACAGTCAATAACGTCTAGAGAGTCTACTTCATAGTAATCATGCTGACTGTTTGCTGTTCTCGATGAACATTTTGTTTTTTTGATCTTCAACAGGAAGCTGGCAGATACCCCGCATACAAAGAGATGGTGGCAGAATACGGCTGGCTGGAAAAGTGTATGTTGACTGTTTTTACAGTCCCTGGACAATGTTTAACACAAGTTTTACAAGAGATAATGAACGGTGGCGTGAGAAGTACTGCCTTGACTAAACAAAATCAATGAAGATTTTATCTGGTTTTCAAAGCTACATGGTGGAGTCTCCTTGGAAACATTTAAAAATTAGTGGGATAGTGGCCTTGTGTAGCCTTCTTGAACAAGAAAGCTGTCATTCAGTTTCTTAATAGCACTCCAGTTCCTTGTTTTTTTGCTTTGATACGAGCCCATCTCAACACAGCTAGGGATTAATTCAGTGTACTCAAAGGCAGCTCAGTCATCTGGAATGGAGCATGACTTGACATCTGTCGAGATGCCAAGATGCAGAGTCACTTTGGAGTTTCATTAGGAAAAAAGAAAAAAAGAAGTCCTGCTTTTTTTTTCTGTCTATCAAAAGCTCACAGGATTATGGGGATATGAGAACAGACAGGTTTTCATTCAAAGAAAGCAGAAATAAGAAGGAAACAAATTAAGCTTTTATGGGAAAACTTTATCCACAGTCCAGTCTAGCATGTATATTTATGTTGCTGTAACATATGGCAGCTGTTACACACACTAATCCCTTATATTCTTTGGATTGTGTTCTATAGTAGCCAATGGAGGCCCTCCACCATCATCACAGGGTTCAGACTCCAACTCTTCTGCCTCGTCATTGTCCTCCACCACCCCTCTCAGTTCCCTCAGTGGTCTCTCCCAGGTCCTCTTCCCTCCTGTCTTTGGCTCAGAGATGGTAGACATTGGCATCTGCACTGAGGACCACTCCCGACGTCCGAGCAGTACTGATCGAACTGCTGACTCCGCCATACAGACTGAACCCCAACCTCCAAACTACCAGGACCACCTGTTACCTAACGGGTCACACCCCGAAAGGCTCTCCACGACAGAAACAAGCCGGACTGTTGGTGCCACATTAGTGTTGAAGGACACGGTCATACGTGGGAAAGGAGAAGGGCCAAGGGAGATGGGAGGAGCTGGAGAAGGTGGACAGGGACGGGTGAAAACGCTGTCATCAGGGAAGCAGGAAGTTGAGAAACACTCACCAAAGACAGCAGCTCTGATGGCCCTGAGCAGACCGCGGAAGCCAATCAGTCGTTCCCAGAGTCACATCACAGAGTCAGGTGAGGTCTGCAGGCTCTTTGGGGTTGTTAAATGTGGGGAACTATGGATGCAAGGTAGTTCTCTATGTACATTATTATTAGCTGACAAGTTTTTTCCAGCCTATTTAGGACATATGGGGTGGCTGTAGCTCAGGTGGCAGAGCAGGTCAGCCACTAATCACAAGGTCGGTGGTTCAATCCCAGGCTGCCTCCTGGCTGCATGCCAAATATCCTTGGGCAAGATACTAACCCCGTGTTTGCCTACTGGTGGTGGTCAGAGGGCCCGGTGGCGCCTGTGTCCGGCAGCCTCGCCTCTGTCAGTGCGCCCCAGGGCAGCTGTGGCTACAATGTAGCTTGCTATCGCCAGTGTGTGAATGTGTGTGTGAATGACTGAATGTAGTGTAAAGCGCTTTGGGGTCCTATGGACTAGAAAAGCGCTATACAAATGCAGGCCATTTACCATATTTTAGTAACAGTCTAGGTGTTTACAATTAAGGCAGTGTTTTCTGAGAAAACAACACAAACACAATACTTTTTAATTTATTAACTTTAGCAGCAGTGGTTAAACCGAGATGGTGGCATAAAAAATAAAGCTCTCAGTATTTTGGTAGTGAGCATACAACCAACACAGTTTATTCATGTGACGAAAATTTAAGCAGACAAGTGATGTTTTACGTCACTGGTTTTAATTATGGACTGTATTAGGTACATCTTGCTAGTATCGGGTTGGGCCCTCTTGATGCCTTCAGAACTGCTTTAATTCATCATGGCATAGTTTCAAGGTGCTGGACACATTACTCATAGATATATACTAGATATACTCAAAGATCAATAAAAGTTTCTGACATAGTTGATTATCCAGCCATCAGGAGATGGGTACACGGTGGTTATAGAGGAGTGGAGGTGGTCAGTAACAATACTCGGGTAAGTTGTGGCATTTAAACGATGCCCAGTCGATACTAATGCATGCAAAGAGTGCCAAGAAAATATCTCCCTTATAGCACTACAGCTCCACCAGCCTGACCATTGATACAAGGCAGATGAGGACCCAAACGCAAAACTCACAGAGACAAAAGCTGAACTCAAAACCTCTGCTTTATTGCAGGCTTCACAAAGAAACAGAACTAAACTGGGAAAACTAAACTGAGCACAGAGGGAACACAGAGAAAGGCACACAAGTTCAGGGAAGAGACATTGACAATGTGACACTGAACTGAGGGAGACGTGGACATAAATACACAGAGTGTTAACGAGGGTTAACCCCAGCTAAGAAATCAGTCTTTCCAGAATTGCGGCACTGTTATCAGATATTGAGCTGATGTTTGTGACAGTTCACTGCTTCTGGGCTCTTCCTATAGGACACGCATCAGTTAGACAACGCCTTAACCCTCCATCACTCCAGAAAGTAAACAAGAACATTCAGACTCTCCACGGCTGATTTAAGCTCCATACAGAATTTGTCTATGAGCACAAGGTTGCCACAGACTCATGATTAATCACTGCCCTTTACTCTCACTTGTTGTACCTCTGTGAGAAATGAATAAGACCAAGCATATGGAGAAATATCTATCCAAGCCTTGGTGGGGCTGTTGAGTTATTAGCCTTTCCTTTTCAATTTCTCCAGCTCACTCGTAGCTTCAGAACCTGGTGGGGGCTCGGGCAAAGCTTAGGTCTGATTGGACATTTGTTATTGTAAGCGGGAGCACTTCTCTGTAGTGCTTCTAATAGATGGGGGTGTGTTCAGGTTGGTGAGGCTGCAATTCATCAGTGATACACTGTTGCTTTCCACAGTGTCAGATTTACTGCAGTGAAAAGAGAAGCTGACTGGAAGAGAAATGAAAAGTCTGTGCTTATAAAGGAGAGTGCGTGTCAGCCACTGTTACCAGCTTACAGTTAAGCATTGAGCACAACAAGGCCTAATGAATTATGTTTTCAGCACCCAACACAGATATGCAGAATGTCCTACTCCTGCTGTGGCTCAGTCAATTTTCCTGTGTACAAGACATAACTGCAAAAAAAGATGACATGTAGTCTATAGTTTGTTTAGTGCACAAAGTACAGTATGTGTGTTAATTTAAAAAGAGATATTTGTCTGTTTTTCCCCCCCACCTTTAGAGGAGAGACAGAAGAAGAAAAGGCAACACAGGGAGAAAAGCTCAGAAGAGGGTAAAACTAGTCTGAAACGCTCCAAAACCTTTGTCAACCTCTTATTTAAGAAAGACCGCAAAGAGAGGAGTCGCTCCAAGTCGCCGTCTCGCCGTGCAAACAAAGGTGAGAGAGCGGTCACAGGGTGTGGGTTTTTCTTTCACATAGTGCAGCCTGCAAAGTGAAATGTTGCTTCAGGTTTTGAACAAATTGTGGAACATGACTCAGAGGTCGTTAAATTGACTAATTATAATACACAGTGTCTCATTTTAAGGCCACACTTTTAATTATAATCAGGGCATAGCGTTCTCTGAAGGAGATAAGTGAGGACATTATATCCAGCAGAATGTGAGGGGAGGTTTCCCAACAGTCCAGTTGTAGATAAAGTCTTTAGGAGTGTGTGAGTTTCTTACTTGAAGCTAAGACTAGTGAGCTTGGATAGAGGGGCACTGGGTTGTTCTCAGGGTCGAAGGAGGTTGAGAACGCAAGTGAGGTGAGATGGAAAGCCTCTTTAAAAGAAGTCATTGTGGGTAGCGCTGGTTTGAAGGTGGCAGGTGAGAAAGCTCGGGTGGGTCTTTTCTTCAGCAGGGCAGCAAAATCATGAAGACATAGAGGAGAGAACAAGAATAGCTGGAGTAACCAAGAATGAGGCCTGTTTACCAATCTGAGATGGCACACAGTGGTGTGGTGTGCTGTGATAGAGACTCAGTATGGAGCTTCCCTTTTAATACCAGCTCCTGATAAGGTCAGTGAACTACAAGTGTGTTTTCTGAACAGCAGGACCCCACGCTCCGACCTGCCCAACCAATCCTACAACAAAGAGAGAGAGAGAGAAAATGACCCGAAGACAAAAACCCAGTGCTCTACCATGACAGAGCTATAATACAGAATTCAAATGTTAAAACAGCCTCGTGAGATGACAAGTTTGCAGTAATAAGTAAGATTTTGTAAATTTGCATTGCTTTCCCTGATTTATAGAGGTGTTCCATTATGTTTAGGGTTTTATTCATCTCTAATGTTGTAAAGTCCTGTAAGAGTGTAACATTCATGATGACAATATCCAGTTAATTGCATAAAAATAGGGTCTCGGCTGATGTGTTGTAGAAAACTTAGTTACAAACAGAAATACTATTCAGATGTGTTAGAAGCAAAAATGTAATGGTGAAGAGCATAAGTTAAGATGCCTTGATAAGCTTGATTTCTTAATTTAATATCTTAATTTAAAGTTAGTGTAAGTTCTCCTGATGGTAAAAAAAACCTGCACAATTTATTTATAGATGTTGAGAAGTCAAACATCTAACTGGAAGAGTTTTAAATGCCATCAGGACAGTTTCTTCTTTGCACATCATTTCTTTTATCTACATTATTCTTTAGATAAGGAACGGGGACGCCCATTCCACCTCTTGACCTCCCCGAGGGAATCCCGAGCTGGCAGCCCACTGCCCCGACTCGAGGTCCTGCAGCACGTGGAGGACATGGCAAAGAAACTGCTCAGTCAGGATGAGGTGGCTGCTGTGATGAGACACTGTCGGCGAGTGAGTTTCTAAACTGAAATTACCATCGCCACCTCAGAGGCACGCTGCTGTGAGAGTGCAGTGAGTCATCGAGTGTTCTTTAGTCACAGATGTGTCGTGTAACAGCTGTGACAAAAGATGGATTTGGCCTGTCTTTATGATCGGGATCGAACATAAGCTGTCATTTGATTCATTCTCAGTCCACCTTAATCCTAAAATATTCAGCTCCTTGGCTAGCCCGTTGTCTGACCTCAGAGGGTATTGACAAGAGAGCTTAGAGAGACGGGACAAAACAAAAGGGAGGTCGAAGACAAGAAAGTTAGGACTTGCTGCAGAGGTATAAACATGTGCTCAGTTCATCACATAAAGTGTTTCTGCACGCTGAGCTTTTAGTCACAGCAAGTGCAGAGCTCTAAAAACTATACTTCCCATTATCTCTAATCTATAATATGTTTTATCACAAATTTGTCTCGTGCTGTAAATGTGTATCTTGAGATACTGGAGCCTCGGTGTGTGAAGCAAACTTTTCTTGGACAAGCTGAGATGTATCCAGAGGTGTAAAAACTTCTCGCAGAGATGACATTGTAAAACTAATTTTATAATCACACACTCAAAAAATGATTCTTCGCTCTCATAAAGATGAAGCAATAATTTTGAGCAAAATCATACTGAAATATTTAAAATCAAATGTTTATTGATTCAAATAATTGTCGATTAAGCAAAATATGCTTTATGTAAACTGAATGTACACTAATCAAGTACATTTCTGTTCTTCAATTTCCATTAAATTAATGTTTTTAGTGCACTTATGTAACAAAATTACAAGCATGTTATACATGTACTCAAATTTACTTAAAGTCAGTTGTCTGGGTATAAATATTTTTTGAGCTCAGTCAGATCCTCAGTGTACATGTCCAGCTGGTTCTTTTTGTTTGCCTACTTTAATTTGTGCACCAATCAAATCCTTCCTACAGTTTCTGTCCGACTCTGTAATCGAGGACTTGGTGCGTCCTCTTCTGGCAATCTTGGACAGGCCAGAGAAACTGCTGCTTCTCAGGGAAATAAGGTGAGATACACAAGGCATAATACTGCTTTATGTGTTTACATGCTGTATGAACTACATGTCCGCTTTATATCCACTGCAGAATGCTGATACCAATGACTGAGTTGGGTCGCTTTGACAGCATGGTCATGCCTTTTGAGCTGGAAGCGTACGATATTCTCAAGAGTCGCTCATGTAAGCATAGGATGCACCTGACATCACTGCCCTGATATTTTATTGTTGTTGTTGTTTATTTATCCAGTTTTACAAGATTAAATTCTAAGCTGTGACAGAATAAAAAACAGAAAAGAATTTTTCAAGTGAGATTAAAAAAAATGAAATCTTTCTTTTTAGCGCGTTCCCCAGCTCTGCGTTCTCCTCGTAGTGGAACTCCTCGTCGTCACCTCATCACCCCAATCCCAGGTACATGGGCTGTATCTCTTGCTCTCGCACTCTCCTTATCTAGGCCTCGGTCCTTTCTTCAACCTTTCTCTCTATCTGCTTGATGGCTCCTGTAGGATTATAACTTATACAGAGGCTCAAACCTCTCTCTGTCTGTCTCTAGTTTTCTGCCACTTTATTCCTGCCTCATCTTATATTCATAGTCAAAGCCAAACACCTTCACACGCAGACCATATCCTGTCCCTGGCACACATTCCCCACCCTCATATAAAAAGGACACACACACACACACACACACCCCCACACACCACACACACACACACACACACCCCGAACAGATCAGGTTTCCCGTGCTCGTGCTGAAGAGGGTTGTTTTACATCTCGGTGCATACAGAAAAGACAGAGACGTGCTGTGTGACACTTCAACAATGCAAAGATGCTTTGAGCATTTACTTCATTTAAAAGACACAATCAGTCCCATCTTCAGACTGATTGCAGCCGCCTCTGAGGTCATAGGCCCGGGTCAAAGGGTCAGTATTATGAAAACAGCAGATATCTGTCAAAACATCTCTGAGCTGTCGTTGTTCTGTCTTCTGCCAGCATAGCTAAGTTTTAACATGGAAGTAGAAAGCACGGATGAAACTCACAGCACTGATTCTGCTCCATCATAAGCTTTATAATATGCACTGACTCAGTCACTCACTGTTTATATGTTTGTACAGACTACAAGGGTGGATTTTATCTGCAGCCGGTCCACGACAGACTGCATGAGCGCCGGTTGATCGAGGAGTTGGAGAGACTGCGTGTGACAGGTCAACGGTCTGGCCATCTCTCGCCATCCCGTGCCTTCACCCCTCTGCTGGATGTACCTGTGGACAACTATGTATCCTCTGTGCGCTCCCGTTCCCCAAGCCCCTTGCCCACTCACAGCTTCCTCCTCAAAGAATCCCCACACAGCACTAAACGTGGCCACCAACCCCATCGATCCCCAATCAGAAGAGAGAATGGGGCGTCGTGGTACGATGAGGTCTCCTTGTTGTCCGTGTCTGACCGAGGGGACGGGGCTTATGAACGAGGGCGGTCACCTGTGAGGAATGGCCATGGGAGAGTGAGGAGAGAGGGCAGTCCTGACAGTATATATGGCAGACAGAGCAGGCAAGAGGGCTACACGGAGGTCAGCGTACACGTTCCCTCACAGCGGAGAGGCAGAACCCCTCTGGCTGAGGTATTTGATCCCCAGAGGGAGAAGAGCCCGTCCAATGCCAGTGGGAGTACTCAGCAAGTGAATGGACACTCACAAGATGTTCAAAAAGTGAAAGGAAGACAAACTCTACCACCCAAGGAGTGTGAAATCGCCACTTTGACCATTTCCAAGGCCAAGCACTCACTGGGTAAATAAAAAACAGCACTTGTTGTGACTTTCATTTAACTTTAAACTGAAATTTCAGGGTTTGCTTTAATGCCAGCTTCTAAAATCGTTTTTAATCTGTGACCGTATATGCGCTTGTAAGCACAATACAAACTGCTTAGTGACTCATCCTAAGCTGTCTCTTACATGACCAGTAGAGGTCAGGCCATCACTAACTGCTAAACTAAAATGCATTTATAAGAGTTCACACACAAAAAAAGACCAAACGACCAATCGATACAGTGTAAGACTAGTTACAAAACATGTGGTACTGCCAAACATGCCCTCAGTTTATTATTGTTCTTTTTCTGTGTGTTTACAGGTATTAGTATCTCTGGAGGTGTAGAGTCTAGAATCCAGCCCATGATAAAGGTTGAGAAAATCTTTCCAGGTGGAGCTGCATCTACAAATCAGGCTTTGAAGGTCAGCGTCTAGCATGAACACATATAATAATAATAATAATAATAATAATAATAATAATAATAATAATAATAATTGATTGGATTTATATAGCGCTTGTCTGTAGCAGATTGTGAGAGAGATGTGCCAGCCCTCAGTCCTGAGGTTATGAGTTGTTGCTATGAAGTAATTGTGTCTATGACAGAGACGTGTGCAATGAGGAGTGGAGAGTAGATGAGAGCCATCTCAAGTGGCCCATCACTTTCATTATGAATGAGGTACATGGATGCTGGTCTGCTAATGTATTGGTAATATATTGCCTGTAAAGTAACTTAACAGTCTTCTTGGCCTGGTTCACTGAAACACATATGCTACACATGCGCTCATTCACTAAAGTTAATCACAGACTTATTGTTAAAGCTCAGTGGAATTAGAGATGCTTGGGAAGAAATGTTTGTGTGCAAAGTTGAAACATACTTATTCCAGCAGTAGGAGGCTGACATTATGTACTCGTGTTTGCTGACAAATTCGTATGTTTCCTAGCTGCAAGTTATCAGTTGAAAACTGCTATCTGAGTGTTATTCCTGATCAGTGTCAAACATGTGGGCAATCCCATATCTAACTAACTTTCCCTGGCCCTCTGTGTACAGATACCTACATTCACATTCATACAAACTCCACATCTCTGTAGGTGCATCTCAAGACATTTGAATATTGTGGAAAAAATTCAATATTTTCCATCAGTTTAATAAAAATGAACATTTAGGATATCCTGGACTTACTGTGCAATTAAACTCCGTTTTACTTTTGACAGTTATGGCTTACAGAAAAAAATAATAGAAAAAATATCTCAAAATAATACAAATGTTGATTTTTTTGAATTTCAAAGAGTATAAATACTGTGTATCTCTCAGGCTAGTTTAGTACATTGTGTCCACATGAAACTCATGGACAGCCTCCACAAAGAGGGTAAGCCACAGGTCATTGCTGAAAAGGCTGGTGGTTCACAGACAGCTGTATCAAAGCATATTGATGGAAAGTTGATTGGTAGATAAAGGAGCACAAGCGACAGGGGTGACTGCAGCCTTGAGAGGATTGTCAAGAAAAGTTGTTTCAAGAACTTTGGAGAGCTTCACAAGGCGTTGACTGAGGCTGTTTCCATCTTTCACTACGTCCAGAGCTGTAGTAGTCCTAATATCAAACCACTTCTGAACCACAGACAAGAGAAGTGCCTTAGCTCAGCTAAGTAGGAAAGAACTGGACTGTTGCTCAGTGGTCCAAAGTCCTCTTTCAAGTCTGGAGGAAGAGTGGAGGGATACAGAATCCAAGTCCAGTGTAAAGTTTCTGCAGGTTGTGATGATCTGAGGTGCCACCAGGTGTCATCTGCTGATGTTGGCAGTGGTTGGTCCCCTGTGTTTTAATCAAACTCCAAAGTCAACACCGCCATCTACCAAAACATTTTAGAGCTCTTCACGGTTCCACCGGCTGAAAAACTTTATGCAGACTTCCTTTTCCAGCAGGACATAGCATCTAGCCACAGGGTTACACGTTACATAATAGTTTTGATTTTAGTACTCAAGTAAGGTTTTCGACACATTACAGATGACTGAGGTGGTAAATGTTTGAGGATCACCAGTTATCCTAATGAGGAACATAATGCTCTGCATAAAATTTACTCAAAACCAAGCACTGATAGAAAAAAAAAACAAGGAATCATTAAAGGTTTTCGCTCTAGGACTCAATAAAAGAATATACCAAATGTAATTCATCAAATATTTAAAGCGACGTTTCAGTCTGGTTAAAAGTAAGGGATTTAAGCAACATTGCATCCTAATGACACTATGATCTTTTCTTAGCCATCTCACCAGCATGACTAAAAACAGACAGGTTGTTGGCTATGAGGCTTAGACACAGATATATGGCTACTCCCTAGCACTCCTGTGCTATCTGTGGTCTCTTCCTCACACCTAACAACCAGGCATGTCAGCTGGCTCATATCAGCTCCACGGCTCAGTGTTATCTCCCGGTATTCTGCAGAGGGAAGTGAGATCAGGCGGGCTCAGTGTTAACACGCATCCTGTTTCCTTAGACCCACATGATAATCACACCAGTGAAGAATATTGTATTGTGTGTGTATTAGTCATGAGACACGTGCTGTCCTGTTCATTAGACGCTGCCATCTGCCTTCACCGGCAGGAACGTGGACGTAAGCGAGTCACGTCAACGTGACAGCTGAGTTAATACCTGCAAAATGACATTCCCAACAGCTGGACCTGCTGATTAGTGCTGCTTAGCAGAAGCAGGCATGTTTACATGCAATCCTAATGCAGTGATTCTCTAAACACAAGGAAAAAAGAAAATGTTTTTTTTAGTATTTTAGAGAAAGTTATCTCAAAATTTGAGCAGCCACGAACCACTGTCCCGAACTACAATTAGAGCATGAGTGGTGTTACATTTATGATAACCAACACTCTGAGCTATGCTTCTCTCAGCCCAGTACATGAGCTATTTGGCCTCAGATCCTCCCATGCAAGCTGTAGTTATTATTACATGCCATGTTATTTGTTGGCTGGAAAATAGAGAACCTCGTAAATGCTCAGTATAAATGGCTGTAAAGAGGATGGGGCAGATTAGGTTGTGATCTATTTAATTCAGATAAATTACTTTTCAAAAATGAAAAAGCACTTTTTAATCTCCTCTTTGGTTAAATGGAGCTAAATCTTTTGATACTGTTTGCACGGAGGGCTATAGGGTTGTTGGTGAACACCGGACTCTCTGGAAAAAAGAATAAAAAAATCAGCAGCCTGGATCTAACCTCATCCATACAGGCCAAATAGGTTAGAGCTGTAACAGATGGAACAGGGTGGTAGAGAATGAAGGGAAAATAATCTATTTGTGTCTAATGACTCGAAAGGGAAAGGAAAAAAAAAGAAGGTACAACAATGGCCGTCGGCCTTGTGTGCTTCTGTGTTTCTAACCTTCGCTGAGATTGAGCACATTAGGCAGGTGCATCCTTGGCAAACGCTGATGACATCAGAGGAAGTTCCTCTCCTCGAGGCTGCAAAGATTTGCTACTCTCTGCTCGCATCCTGCAGGAAACAGCAAGCATAGTCCTAACTGTGCAGCTGTCTCAGTGTATATTCTTTTTCCAAAGACCTTGTGCTGAAGGGGAAACTTTATACGTGCACTAGTGACAGCTTTCAGTGTGAATGCATTAAAGAAGTGGGAGAGCTCCAACTCTCTTTGGCATAAATTACATTTCTTCACAGAGGGGCACAATCTCTGCAGTGTTATGGAAACTGTCTTTAATGTTGCTCTGAAAAAAAAAATAGACACAAAAAAGAGATACACAAATGGAGGAAAACATGCTTACAAAGGATACTCAATCTTTTTCTGTGGCTTTTCAATGTTCTTTTACCCTTTTGCATGTGTTTGAATCTGCAGGCAGGGTATGAGCTGTTGTCCGTAGATGGAGAGAGTCTGGAGGGAGTGACTCATCAGCACGCCGTGGATGTAATTCGGCGTGCATTCAGCAACAAGGCCAAAGAGCCGATGGTTTTTGTGGTCAAGGTCCCTAAGGTCTCTACCGACCCCAGCAGCCCCAACAGACTTGCTGACTAAACTCTGTGTGCCTCACAGCCAGGTTGCTGCTCGGGCATGAAGGACAACAAAACCTGCTGCTCCTCTGGGACTTAATAAATACAGGATTCACCCCAGAAGAAGAAATATGGGATAGGTAGCGCTCCGGTCACAGCGGAGACAATCAAAGGCAAAGTTATGACAAAATATACCATAAAGTATGTCTTGCATAAAGGTTGCAGCTGGTTTTGAAGACTAATACAGCTGCATATTTGTCAAGATAAAGGTCACTTTTGCTATAATGTAATGCGAGATGAAAACCAAATGTTGCAATTGTATGAATTTTATATGATTCTTAGTTTTTAGAAAAACTTTTACTAAATGCATATGTTGCACGTTTTCTAAAAGACGCTTTTGTGATAGGATCGTGTAATTCATGATCTTTGGTTAGAATAGTGCCACTATTCAACACGTGGCAACTTTGCCGTGACCTCTGAGCACTGTCTGATAGTGGAGCCAGTGGTCTGCACTTTTTACTTGAAGCATCTCAGCCCAGCAGCCCTGCAGGCATGCCAGAGGGCGATTACCTCAGCCAGCATTATGAGATTTATAGATTTATACTCAGATTAAATCCCTGTATTATGTCAAAACTGATAGTTTGGGTTTAGAGGATGTCTGGGGAGATTATTGCAAATTGCTGCTCAGTATTTTTTTTTGTGTTGTATTTCTCTGGCAGAGGTGCCTGTATTCTGGAGCCATCCGCCACTTTAGAGGCTTAATTACACCATGCTGTGGATGGAGCTTATGGAGACACGTGGAAGAGTTGGAAAAGGTCAGAGGAGAAGGGCCAGCCTGCTTTGAGCTGATAGGAAGGCAACAGTAACTCATATAAAAAGCATTCAAAGATTGGAAAAACATTTCCTGAGTTGATGAATCTTTATTTGTGCTGTGACATTCGGGTGGTAGGGTCAGAATCAGGTGGATACAACATGACAGGACCCAACCTGTCTGGCATCAAGGACTCATGCTGGGGTGGTGTAATGGTGTGAGGATATTTTCTTGGCACACCTTGTCCTTGCTCTCGTCCTATAGTAGCTGGGATGGGCTCCAGCCCCCCTGCGATCCTGATAAGGATAAGCAGAAGAGAATGAATGGATAAATGGACTTTGGGCCACTTGCTGCTTTTTGATGTCACAAAGTTCCAATAATCTCAAACAGGTTTCTTGTACGTGAGTTCAACGTACTCAAATGGGCTCCACAGTCATCAAATCTCAATCCAGCTGACCACTTTGGGATGTGGTGCAATGGGAGATTTGTTTTATGAATGTGCAGCCGACATATCTACAGCAGCCTTGTGATGCATCATGCCAGTATTGAGAATTTTCTCTAGCACCACGAAGAATTAATACCGCTCTTAAGGCCAAAGGAGGTCCAGCCCAGTGCCTGCAAGTGTACCTAATAAAGTGTCAGATGAGTGTATTTTACACTGTAATGCAAAGTTGGTTCATTCAACCTAAAAATAAGCAAAAAAAAATTTCAGAAGCAATTAAATCTGCAATCACTTCAAGATGTGACAACTTGTTCTTTAATTAAAAACAGTCATTTGTACAAGAAATGTACACATAAAAATATACATGGACAACTACATACTCTATGAATGAATGAAGACACACAGTAAGCAAATGTTTCAAAAAAAAAAAAAAAAGCACATAAAACGATGGGGGAAAAGCGCCACAAAAAAAAAGTGTGTTACGTTGCTTTGGTCTAGTCACAGTGGCTACATTTGAAATAGATATTTTGTCTAAATAAAAGACAATGTCACTCAGTTATACTATTTAGTGTTTTACATATTTACACAGAAAAATGGTCATGCAACGATGAGGGGGAGGAAATGAGAATTCGATATGCACACAGTGCTTTGGAGTGAGGGAGTCTGCTTTCGAACACCTGTGCTTGCTGTTAATATGAACCTGTGGGGAGTAATAACAGTCTAGGCTTGGTTAACAACGTGAAAGTGGTTGGATAAACTACGCTTTTTCCGTTCAAAGTTACTTCCAATGGCTTTACTTTGCAATCACAATTTATGCACAGACCTTTAATGCTCCACAATACCTCCTCAGCCACAGTTATGTGGTTATGCAAAATATAGCCAAATATAGCCATGAGCATTCCTTCTTTCTGGCCATAACTTAATAACGAATCCCTCAAAAACGACTTGTGCAGTTCTAAACAAATGATGTGGGAAAACCTGAAGACGACAGCGTGAATGAGCGTGAGATTACGATGCAGACAGTCAAGTGAAAGATCAATCAAAACGGAGAGACAACAGACCAAAAAGTAGCCTAAAATAAGAGCTCCCCGCTGCTCTATCACCTGCAAGGTTTGGTCATTAGAAGGTTTTCCACACAGATTATATAATGTAAACATTAAATTTTCATGCATTACAGTATTAGGTGCACTCTTCCTTTGTCGCCACCTCCATTTGCAATTGATCCATCATTTGAAATATTGGTATGAGATATACATTAATCCACACACTTATACCAGTACTACAACAAAATATCTTCGGGTGCTATATATATATAAAAAATATACAACATCTCCTCCATTATATAGATTTTCATTTAACTATTAATCCTCGATATAGACTCTGCAAAATAAAAGCTCTCAGCAGCCCACTACCGCCATGCTCAGTCGTATGCACAGCCCTGCATAATACCGTGAGAAAACAGCAGCGCAACCCACAGTTTTTATATGTAACATGCTCCTCGCCGGTTTATATTTAGGCCCTCAAAAACTGACCTGCCTTGAGGACATTCAGTGCTGGAGCTACTGCATCTGCAAACTCTCACCTGACTGCTGCGTGAACCAGTTTCTTCTGAAATCTCATACAACAAAGACATGCAGACATGCCAGTCTCACTTCCTGTATAGCAGTCAGTGAAGAGTATAATCTAGTGGGCAGGAAAAACGGGAAGGGTAGGAAGACTTCATAACAGTTATTTGGCTTTGCTTTGCCAAGAGGTACATAAAGGGAACTAATGGGAGTGAAGGGAGATAAATGGAAACTCTGAATAAGAATGCAAACAGTTCAAACACTGGCTTAAATCTCTGTAATTCTGTAAATATGCTCTATTTTTAGTTTCCTGATACCAACCACAGAGGTGCCTTTCACTGTTATAAAAATAGCTGAGTAAGAAGCAAACAGAGAGAAGAAAAAAACAGAGAAAGAGGGGAATCGGCAGCATCCTGGAAATATCACTTATACTAAAACGTTTATGTGAGATCGGTGCATTGTCTAAAGAATTGACACGTGTGCAACAGTTGGTGGTCTTGAAAACTTGAGCAGAGTTCAAATAAAGCATTTCCTTTGAGCGTTTGGTTTGGCGTTCCCGGTAGGTTTTCGGAAACGGCTGAATAGGATGTTCACATGTAACCAAGGAGGCGCACGTCAGTATTGGTTTGTTTGAATTGAAAACAGTTGAGTCCTGAACAAAAAGAGGGCAGGGAAGTTGTGCAAAATAACAGCGTGCTTCTCAGATGCTCTCGTTACTGCATTTCTCAGAAGTGACAATACATTCCTCATCAAATACGCACAAGCCAAAGAACAAAATATTGGTATTTTTTTTAGACTTGGTAAAATGAACTTTGATGCTATCAACTCCATGAAATACAAACAGCAGTTAACAGTAATATTTGGGATTTGGAGGACTGGTGCAGCGGGGGTTTGCGTCGCCGATGAGCACGGTTCGGGCGGGTGATGACGTCGGCTTTAATAACCAGGTGATTGATTGGTCATCTCTCGTGGTGCATGAGTACGTGCACGCTGGTGTCTGGGTGTTTCACGTCGTGTGCTACCAACAAAGTTGTAACCAGATTTCTCTGTGTGTAGTAATGTTTTTTTGCTTTAAGGTTCCCATCGATTTTCAATACCCTGATTTGAACGTGGTCTGAGAAATAAAACACTTCTTTCCCTCCTCTCGCTCCCACAGATGGAAACAGGTCTTTGTGCTGGCTTTGTAGTGGAATAAAAACCCATTAAAAGCGTAGTGGGAGACACCTTAAAAGGATTTACTGGGAGTACATTTGTGTTAGCAGGAAGTGAGAATGCACCTTTTGGGAGAGCTCCCTTTTAACAGTGACAGGTGGTGAGTGCTTGCTCGATGATCCGGGCAAAGCCACGTTGAAGATAGTGCAGTATTTGGCCCAGAGTTGATTGTTTGGTTTACACCTTCAGAGTGTTGCCATGGTTTTTATTTGGACATATTGCTCGCAGCGCGTGTGTGTTTATATCTCTGTGGCAGTGATTTCCTCAAAGTGGATGTCATTGCTGCCGCTGCGCACTTCATAGTCCTCCATATCCCTGTTCTCCAGCTCCAGACTCAGCTCCCTCATCACTCTCTCCAGATCACGGTTGCGACGGTACATCTGGATGTAGTTCTGCTGCAGCTGTTTCTGGTAGTGGATTACCTGAGTTGATGGGAAAACAGCATTTGAGTTAAGTACATAGGTAAGGAGGATTAGCATAAGCTTTAAAATCTAGTTTGACACGTGTCACGCTGAAGGAAAAAGATTTAAAGTCAGTCGCCACGAAATGTTTACCTTCTCCTTTTCCTCCTGCCACACCCGCCTCTCTTCGTCGAAACGTGACAGCTGCTCCTCACCAGTCCTCCTCTCATACATGAGCTCAGCCTTCAGCCTATCAACCTGTTTCGATGTATCATGTTTAGTTCCTTTTCTTACAGAAATTTAAAGCAAAAAATTTGTAATGCTCGTCTCTACATGGGCCCATAAGCTACATAATAAATAAATGACAGCACAGAATGCAAAGTATTCCTATCAAAAGGCCACAAAACTGAGCTGACACAAAACCTCAATTGCATCAATTCACTTTCATCACATATGCTTGTAAAAGTTACCGAAAAACACATACCTGTTGCCTGAGTCCCAACACTGTTTCTGCATTCTGCCTCTGAGCCTTGGCTTCATCGCTCTCTCCACCCCAGACCAGATGAGTCTCCTCTCCGTTGCGGTACACAGAGGGACTGGGACCTCCCCTTCCTGCCACAGCTCTACCCTGTTGCAGCGTCAGACTCATGCATTGCCCCTTCATGGCTACATTTCCAGGCAGAGCAGGTCCGCTGTGACCGGTCAGAGCGTCACGTAGCCGGGCTGTCTCCTCTTCCAAACGGCTCACTTTCTCCCGGAGCAGCTCAGCTTCACTCTTGCGCCTCTGGAGTTCATTTTCGCAGACCTCCAGCTCCAGTGACCGCGTCCGCAGAGCAGTCTGGGCCTCCTGGGATCGAATCTGGCTGGCTTGCAGCTCAGAGCGAGCTTCTCTAAGCTGGGCCTTCAAGACCACAATGTCTCCTGCCTTCTGGCTGAGCTCCGACTGGATCTCCTTAAGCTGCTGCTTCAGGAGAGAGATCTCTCCTGACTTTTGACATACCTGGTGAACAACGGAAAGAAAGTGAGAGAGAGAGGCAAACCTCAATTTCTTCCAAGCTTACAAGTTCGTTTCGGGATTTTATGTTTTTATTAGTTGCTAAAAAGTAAGAGATGAACAGAAAATGAAAAGAGCAACTGACAAACAAAAATAGGATCACACAAATTCACAGCTGAGACATTTAATCACCGCGCTGCTTCTGACAGATTCATGACTGACTGTCTGGTATCTCGCTTTCACCTACCTCCCACTTTGTCTCCTCCAGACGTGGCCCTAGTTGGGTCTGCTCCCTCTGGATTGTGGCGCACCTCCTTTCCAGTGTCTCTCTGTCCTGCAGCAGAGAGGAGAAGTCCTCCTGTAGCTTCTTTTTCTCCTGCTG